CCCCCCCCCCCCCCCCCCCCCCCCCCCCCCCCCCCCCCCGGAGGAGTGGTCTAAAGGGACCAACAGGTGGGAAGGAAGGGAATAAAGCCAGACTAGGCGGACAGAGAGGCTGGGCTGCCTTGAAGTGTCTACAAAGTCCCAGCTGACCTCAGGAGCTCTGGAGCTAGAGTAGCCCTTCAAAGTTGTCCCCAAATGGAGCAAGGCAGTCAGGCTTTTTATCCTCTGCATCAGCTGACCGATGATAAGGGATGTCCCAGGAAGAGGCGTGACCTGGGACAAAGCAGCACTCTGCAGCCAAGGAGACTTCAGGAGAGGCTGACAGTTGAGCACCATTGTGCCCAGCTGAGAGAATGATGGATGTGGGCAGCACAGGATAATGTCCACGAGACTCTCCGTATCTTAAACCTAGAATCCCGTTCTATCTATGTCATTTATTGGGAAGCAAATGAGTCCAAAGAAGTAGCATTTCTCAGATGCATCAAGTCCGTGTCCGCGCACGATAGGAATCACTCCTACCACGCCCCGGACAGCAGGTCACCCAGCTTCTATTTGGACACTTCTAGGAACAGGAGCTCATTGTTGGGGAGCTTTAGTTGTTACACGGTTTTTCCCAACGTTGAGCCAAATCTTCCAGGTAGAAATTGCTCTTTAATAATAGCCATCGTATTGACAAGTTATTGGCCGGGTAGCAAAACTAGGAAAGAATAGCGCGTTTGTGCAAATCCATTTGGACCAAGGACTGAAATAATGGAGTAGGTATTTATTCCTTTTTTGAAAAAAAAACTATTCTACGGGCTCTTCTCCACCGAAGAGTCAGAGTGATCTTTTTTTAAACAAAGATCAGATCAGTCATAGGCTATGCTCAAACTCCTTTACTTGGAATGTAGCCCACAGGCCTCGTCCTGGCCTACAAGTCCCCTCCTTTCCAGAGCCTGACCCTGGCGCGGCCCTCGCCTCCTACCTAACACCCTGGATTCAGCCACTTTGCTCTTTTTACTGTTCTGCAGACACTCCCACATCATTCTGCTTCAGGCCTTTGTACTTGCCGGGATGTCTGCCCTTAACGCGCATCCTCCAGACTTTTGCAAGGCTTCATTCAAATGCCAACTTCTCAGAAAGGCTTCCTGACACACCCCTTCTCAGAAGAGCTCCTCACCCTCGCGACCCCCTCATTCTGCTTGCTTTCTCTTCATAGCCCTCGCTAATTCCTAGTGCGTGTGTTGAAGTTTTGTTCGGCACCACATCTCTACGCTCCTAAAACTGCTCCTGGCACATAGGAGCATTAAGTAAATATTTGTTGAGTGAGAACGCAAATAAATAAATCAGTGCACAAACAGAACCTTGCCCAAAAGTTACGGGTAGCGCAGTTGGGAAGTTGCTGAAATGCTCGAGGTGGGGCTCAGAATAAACCTCAACCGAAAGAAAACCATTTAATAAAGGGAAATCCAAATGTTTATTCTCCTGAGTCACAATCAACGAGAAGAGAATTTCTATCGCACTTCATATATAGGCACCATACTGTCAATTCCTGGAGGGCAGGGACCAGGTTTCATTCTTCTTTTATCCCCTGAAGCTCCTAGCCTGGTAACCTTGAGTGCATTAGGCACCCTCTAAATGTCTGTTGAACATAATCAATTTAGCATATCAATCAACCTGGCCACTAAGACCAAGACTTTGGTCATCTGATGCTGTCATGGGGGAACGGAGAAGGCTAGCCTGTTTCAAGCATCATTACATTTTTTTCTTCAGCATCTTTAAGAGCATTAGACCAGTGCACCAAGTTTCTTCACTGTGTCTGTAGACGTAGTTAGGAAAAAAAACATTCAAGATTGCATTGCCATTTAAGAGTTTGCTAACGTTCCGTAGAATGAAAGCCCCATTCAGTGGAACTCGGAAGGGCCAGCCCGTAAACAACATTTACGGAGTGGGCTCTGTGCTCAGCCCCACGGTGGTCAGAGCTGCGTTCTTAATGACCCGGAGGAATGCCCAGGACATACTCTGCTGTTGAAGGGAAGTTGTGTGGGGAGTTTGGCTGGGTTCCTTGATTTTAGTTTGGTAAACCACCCATTCTGCCTCCTTAGGAGAAATTGGTACAGCGTCCTGAGGCAAATAAATGACTGACCCTGAGTCTCCCCTTTGAGGACTCATGCTTCCCCGGGAAGGCCAGGAGAAGCAAGTCCTTCGGCCCTGCCTAGACCCCTCCCGCCACAACGTGGGGATGTGTTGGCAATGAGAGTAGCTGGTCGATAGTGGTAGGAGACTCATTTAGCAGAGAGGTACTAAAGCAAACATGCAAACATGAACCAAATGTCACCAAGTCCGGGCCAAACCTCCCATCGCCAACAGCCGGGGGGGGGGGGGGGGGGGGGGGCGAAGAAGAGGGAAGCAGGGGGAACCGGGAGAGCGGAACAGAGCAAGAGCGACCCATGTGACAGCAGGGGGCCCCGTGTGTCCTGTTCCTTTGTAAAGCGGTGACCCATGCTAAGAAGACATTTCTTTTTGTTGTTGTTTTTAATGCTTATTTATTTATTTTAAGATGGGGGGGCACACAGAGAAATAGAGAGAGAGAGGGAGGGAGAAAGAGAATCCCAAGCAGATTTCATGCTCAGCGCAGAGCCCGACGCGGGGCTCGATCTCACGAACCGTGAGATCGCAACCTGAGTGGAAATCAAGAGTCGGATGCTTAACCGACTGGGCCACCCGGGCACCCCGCGACGTTTCTTTTTTAAGTTATCTCTTTTTTATTATCATAAAAGGAACCAACTTTTTTTTTTAATTTTTTTTTAACATTTTATTTATTTTTGAGACAGAGAGAGACAGAGCATGAACGGGGGAGGGGCAGAGAGAGAGGGAGACACAGAATCGGAAGCAGGCTCCAGGCTCTGAGCCATCAGCCCAGAGCCCAACGCGGGGCTCGAACTCACGGACCGCGAGATCGTGACCTGAGCCGAAGTCAGACGCTCAACCGACTGAGCCACCCAGGCGCCCCCCAACTTTTTTTTAATTTAGACAACACACCCACGCACAGAAAGGTTGGATGAAACCACTTGCAATCCTACCACATGCAGATCAGCACTTGTTAATCTATTTACATGGATGCTACAAGTATCTTTTTCTCTATATAATGTAGCTAATGTCTATTAACAAAAATCTAACTGTTGACCATTAAAGAATTCTGCAGTTCTGCAGTATCCCAGAGAAGGGAATGATCCAGTACGTGACGTTACTGTATAATCTTTGGTCCATTCATTCAATGAATACTTTGTAAGTACCTACTGTGTTCCAAGAAATAGTCTTACAAGCTTGCGATACAAAATGAAAGACATTGTCCTTGTCCTCAAGCAGGTCAAAGCGAGACAAGAAAGTAATTACAGTTCAGTGAATTATAATTCAGTGAGTAGGTGCATCTTGCTTAGCCATAGAGACTGAGATTTTCAAAAGACATGATAAATGAATTCAGTATTGATGAGTAGGAGGCAGTTAATAGGAAAAGAAGTTAGGGGGAGGGAACCTGATGTGCAAAGACACGGATCTGAGAGTAAACACAGTGCATCTGAGGAATAGCCAGGAGATCAGATGAACTGGGGCAGAGCAGGCAGAAAACAAAGTAGGAGACGTAGGAAACGGATCATGCTAAAGAATACGGACCTTGCCAGGTGCGGGACTCAGGAGGATTCTGAAAAGCCCAGACTGGCATTTCCTAACACGACTCCGAGTCCGGTATAAGGCATGGACTGGGGATACTGGAAGCATGGACAGCAGTGAAGGGTTTACCTGAGCCCAGGTGGTAAGATGCCCCTGAAGAGTACCCAGGACCAAGGGGAGCATGCTTGGATCCCGAGGAAAAGGAAGCAGATAGAGCGGAGGGGGTGGGCAAGACGGGGGTCAGCGTCAGGCGATAAGGCAGTAGGTGGAACATATGGACCAGCCTTCTGGGAGAAAGGACTGGCAGAGGTTGGGGTGCCCAAGCACCAGGCTTGGTGAAGAACCATACAGCCAAGCAAGGAAATGGAATTGAAACTTAGTCACATGGACTGAACTCTACAACAGACGCGAGAAAAAAGTTGAGGCTTGATGGTTATGCAGGTGTTTGAGGCACAATTCGAGACAAACTGCACCCCGGGCATATGATAGTAAGACTGGTCTTCCCCTTCCTGACTCCCTTCTCAAAATGGCCACCTTCGGGGAAAGTACTGCACAAATGCTGTTCCCCCCAGGTTTTCTGTATTTCACTTCTCACATCTTACCTAATCCATCAGAGGAACTCTATTTCTTCTTCTCACTCTCCTTCCCACCCTTCCTCCCCCTCCTTCCTTCCTTTCTTCTTTTTTTCTTGGAAAAAGACCTGTCGTGATCTGTCTGAATGGAAGGCCGGGGTGGGACAGCACATTAAGTTTGGGACAGTATTTAGAAATATTGAAGTTAGGGGGAGCGTGGGTGGCTCAGTCAATTAAGCATCCGACTCTTAATTTTCGCTCAGGTCGTGGTGTCAGGGCTCATGAGATCAAGCCCCGCATCAGCGCGGAGCCTGCTCAGGATTCTCTCCCTCTCTCTCTACCCCTCTCTGGCTCCTGCATGTGCACTCTCTGTCTCTCTCCCTCTCCTCAAAAATAAATTAGTTAATTTACAAAAAGAAATATTGCAGTTAGAAGTTTGCTTCAGAAGACCCACCACACACACGCACGCACGCACGCACGCACCTCAATCTACACCTCATCTTTTAAAATCAAACCTACTTTTCTTCAAGTGTTAGTATCCTAGATCAAACGTGTTAGAGGATTTCTTAGTTAACTTTATCACCTTATCATTTTTCTATTTGGTTTAATTTGCTGGCATGGCAACTCTACTCACATTGGCCTGTATACTTAACAGTTTGTAGCT